TTTTATTCACCTAAAAGCGAAAATTGAAGAAAGGTAAACCTATTGAGCGTGATCGATGAAATGAATGATCACCAGTGCCAGTAGGTTCTATGGATTTATTTTGTCTACATTGCATTTATTGTTTCGATTCGAGTCTTCATCAATGCTCGCTTACTAGATGAATGACTTGAATAGTACCAATTCTCGTATTAATCTATGTCATTGACTTCAAAGCAAAACTATCCAGATCTTAAACATAAAAGATGATGGCATGTTAAATGAGTCTATCGAATCAGTGTCCTATTCATTTATATTATCATTGCTTTAATATTAAGATTTAAAGTTTATTAAGAAATTCAAGATCATAGGAAAAACGAATAAATACAACGGCATTTGCCGCAATTGGCACAAGTATTCTATTCAGAACTTTTGCTCCATTGGAAAGAAATTATTCTAGTTTATTTTAGAATCGAACATTATGTCGCAGACGAATAACGATTATGAAAATTTTGTTCGTTTCTCTGTGATACTTCCAAAGAGAAATGAGAATTTTTGAAATGAATTATAGTATGACATAAGAAGTGACTGAATAGAACGACCCTTAATATTCTTCTCATTAATTTTTCTTCCTCCAAGTAAAGGGTCGGCTCTAATTAACTAGCGAAAAAAACCATAACATACATGAATATTTATAACAAGAGTTTCGTACATTTACTTTTGTCCGTTTAGAGGAAACACTTGAAGTTATTGTGTTTATCAATGGTCATATAAGACTTGAATAATTTAGAGGCAGGGTCTCGTAAGCACCTGGCGCGGCGAATTCTTGATGCACTAAATGAATATAAAAAATATTAAAATTAAATTAAAGATAAGCTTAATGGTTTCTTCTTATTGAAACACGATTGATAATGATGATTTAAGCATATAATAAGAAAAAGTGATATTCTTCAGACTGTCTCACAGACCCGGGAATGTTAAAACCCTAAAGCGACTTTCAGACATTCATTATTTTAGACCTTTAAAATTCGAATACAGAAAAATGTTACTGTTACTTGTTGAGATGTGACCTTGTCGTATATAATTATTATTGGTTGAGACAGTCTTCTAGCTATGCTACTCTTAGAAACTAATCAAGGAATATCAGCGAAATCGCGTGGTTTCTCATTTATGACTTAAACAACTCGATTGTCTTTTCTGTGTATTTTAACCTTGCTTTTTTGCATTCTTTTCAAAATGCAGCACGAGGATTATTATAGATTTGCTTCGCATTCATCTGTAAGATAGATATATATATGTATATGCATGAATGGCTCAACTGTTTAAATACTAGTTTTTAGATTCCAAAGGTAGGATATTTGTATTCATTGGAATGATAGAAAATAACGCAACAATAGTGAGAAGAGCATGTTAGTTGTATCGTTTTTCTGTATGACTAGTATATTGGCTGCTTCTAGAGAGACAAGCATGATGACTTGGATGCAACTCTCATAATTTTCATGAAATACATTTGCAGAACAAGTATTAGGCTTGCATCATGTGATGTAATTAAAAATGTATTGGTAAATATTCAAAAAAAATCGATTTAAGTATCGGTTTTATAATCGAAAATCTCAACATTTTTTGATCTCTGTCATCAGATTTCTGTGAGATTCGTTCATTATCTTGACAAAAGATATCGTTCTTCAGATCTCTTAAATTCCTACGTACGCTATAAATGAACTAAAGAGGAATAAATTTCGTTAATATCAAACTCAGCAAATACACGAACCAGGCAAAAAAGTGGAAAAATGTGATGCTTTCCCTGGAATTTGGCGTAGGAAACAACTTTTAGTAAACAATACTTCTGTATTTTGGAGATAGGGCTCCCAGGGAATAATTCTTGAAAATTTGAGATCCCTGCATTTCATTAATAGGAGAATATCGGAAGCTGAAAATCGCAAGGGAAAGTATATCCATTGATGCAGTGAAATTCTTGGTGATTCGAATCAAACAATTGCGAAGAAGAAATTCTAGAATTTGTAGAAAATTTCTCTTAAATATGATGTACGTCATCAAAGTATTTTGGAATTCTATAATAAGTAAGGAGAAGAGTAGTCAAAGCGGTAATTATGATAAAATTTGCACAGTGATCGAGAAAGATTTCGACGATATCTTCATATTTGATCTTTACGATATGTATATGTTTATGTTGTTTGATAGACAAAGAGCTATTTTTCGAATCTAAATACAATAGAAACTAAATCCTCTATGAAATATTTTGTGACTCTTGATGAACTCTGCCAAACTGTGTACTCAAATTGCCAAGTCAGATCTGTTTGTATCTGAGAAGTTAACACTTCCAGCCGATTATATGATCTCAATAGATGGCCATTGTAGTATATTCAGTGAATGTGCGAATTCAAGAGTCAAAATTATATTAATATATTTTATATACTGAACATGAATCAGATGACAGCTTTTGATTTCTATCAGAAGCTAAGTCGCTTGAAGGAAGAACGAAAGGTGCATACGAAAAGAAGACTCTCACACCACGTTCACTTTCATTCTGAAACGTACGACAGCAGTGTGTACTTTTTTGAAATCAGATAGAATTTCTGAACTGTTTATTTTTGTACTGTTGAGTATAAAATTTAATTCTGGACAAATCAATTAATTTATTTTTGCTTAATAGTGGATATTATTGAATTAATCACATTGAAGAATTAGATTAAAGAAAACTCGATAGAAATGAGACTTTTTCGTCGTTTCATATTTCTTAATTAGCAAATATTTCTCTCGACCATATTTTTTTCAAATCTCTCAATACACGTCAAGTGGCAGAGAGCTTTGGGGGGGAGGGTTACCACAACATCATTAAAATTTCAGGGACAGTGCCATAACAGGTTTTCTCATTATTATTTTCCATTTTTCTTCATTCATGTTAAGCATTGAATAGATATTACTGTTTAAAATTTCTACGGTCAATGCTGGTGTTTTACAAAAGGAAGTCTCGCAGTTTTCTGTGTTAAAATATTGTGTGTAGAATCATTTTAAGCTTAGACACAAAAACTATTATTAAATGTTTCAAAAATCTAATAAAAAAATCATTCGCTTTATCTTAGACATCTGTTACAATATTTTTCAACAATACAAAAAGGGATTCCATGTAGTTTTTTCACAATGATCGATACAACTGAAACACTTTTTGTAGTACTCCTGATTGAAAGCAATATCATTAATAGTCTTATCTACAAATCATGTCGGTTTTTACATTGTGAAATACGTCCGATTTTGTAAATGTTTGTACGTCTTTTTTCTGTTAGTTATGACTGTCTGGGCAAAAACGTATCTGCATCTATATATACATCCATTCAAATCGATGGTTCCGAGCGCTTGAAACACACGAGTTTCATTGAAACTGGTCGGAAAGGTACAAGAAAATCATTGTATTAGATAGAAAGCTACTGAATTACATGAAAACAGGTATCAGTATTCTCCACTGAGAAGTTTGAGAACTGTTCTGGTGACTTTAGGGTGTTTCTCGCTAAAAATAACTAGAAACCGGTCAGAAGTTGTGTTCTAGTCAATAGCATACGGCCGTAATCGATCGAAATACATTTGAAGATGGTAGGAACTTGAAAACAGAAAGCCAAAGCACGGGTCCTGAGTTCGAATTTTTCTCGTGCCGATAGGAATCACCCTTGGCTGGGCCTTGCTGGTCATTTATCACGATTAGCGTAGTCCTGCTTCTGGGTTTCTATTGCTATCAGGAGTTTTCTGACTAAAAATAACGTATTTTTTCGCCAACTCAGTTGAAAATCCGCAGACCAGGGCGTTGGAATTATTTAGTGCAGGAGAAAATTTTAGTACTTTTCTGCCCAAAATACTGGGTCCAAGCATCATTGGTTTCGGTATTTTTCTTTCAGGATCGATCCGTATTGCTTCATGTGCGTGCATTCTCATTCTAGTACCATGTTTGGTATTCTCTCAGCTCACACCTACTTGCTGGACAGTTCCTCAAACACTAGGTCTTGCTACAGGATATAACTCGTAAAAAAATTCTCATTTTATATTTAAGAATTGTCAACTTGCCAGGTTTTGAAGCTATTGGTGTTGGTGGCTGTGGTGCTGCACTTGGCTTTGGTGGCTTTGCTACCGTACTTGGCAATGATGGTTTTAGTACGGTACTTGATGTTTCATTAATTTTTTGGCTTTTCCCAAAGGTTGAGACCGGATTCGATTGTGGCAACGCTTTTTTTAATTGACTAAGATCAAATGGATCGGTGAGCATTTGATATGGTGGAGAAATTTCACGAATATGGATAATATGTAAACCATCAGCCGAGCTTAATTTATCGATCACTTCAAAATATCGGCCAGGAGCAAGAAGAATTTCATCTTCCTGTTGAAAATATGAGTGTGCTTTGATGCACTTTCCACTTGTGGTTTGAATCGAGAACATAGTTCGTTCCCCTGATGTTCCCAAATATAGTGGGGATTCGAGAACACTAATTGCAGCTGTGCAAGAGCTCACTGCCCACCATGCAAATTTCTTTCCTTTTGGATAGAAAGCGCTGAGATTCTCTGGAACACCTCTCCAAATAATATTATGTTCGCTTGGCCTATAATTCCAAAAGTCATGATACGTTCTATTTCATGCATGCTACTTACGGTAGTTTGAAAAAAGCTGTCAGAAACAGCTTCAAATATCTGAACCATGGTTGAAGTTTTGATCGATCCGCCATTCGGAGAGTCCGATTGAGAACCGCGTACAGGCTGTTTTCACGCTTTTTCCACTCCATCGTATATAAATGAAGTGAGGCGGATTCATCTTGAGCGAGTCCACTCTCAGGTTCTTCGGAATTCATTTTCGCAATTACCACATTTTGTTTTAGCTCTTGGTTAAGTATTTTTTCCAAAGGTTTGCAAGCCTCTTCCAGTGGTAACAACGGCTCGTCTTCATAACCAGAAACTGGCTGTAACATTTGTTTTGGTTCGTCACACACGCTTGCCAACAAACGGTAATTTACATTAGCAGATGCTGCCATCGATGTGTTTGTGCTTCTTATCTGAAATTCATACAAAATGAAAATATTATCTTCTGTTGACCGAGAAGCATATATGATTAAATGCTGAACAGTGTAAACAAATGCAGAAAAGAGTATTATTGGAGTGAAGACTCAAATTCTTTTCTTGCTTCTTTCGAGACAAGCCGATCATACTGTAAATAGAGACCGTTCATCGAGTAAAGCATCCAGTTGTTTCGACGACAATGAGCTGATACGTATATTTTTGTCTTTTTCAAATCTTTCTAAGCGTCCTCGAAGAGCTCATTCACGCTCAGATGACTGAATCCGATCAGATCTGATAGATTCTACTAGTTAACAAAATCCTATAGAGTTCGAGTAACGGAATCATCAGCGAATTCAACCGTTAATGTCTGATTATTACTTTCCAATGATACCAAACTATCGAATCTTGATAGGATCGTGCCAGTCTTTTTTCATATTCAATGAATCCTACATGTTCTGATCAGATTCACCATTCAAACTCTACCAGAATTTAATCAAAACCTATTATGATCTTTCATTCTTCAAGTTTTATGTGTTTCGTAGATGTTAGATCGGAGACCGTCTTACAAAGTAGTTATTTGAATCCTGTCTCCTCATGCCTTCATGGAAGGAGTTATGAATTGAAATTCATTATTAGAAAGACTGCTATATAGCTTTAAAATAGCTATCTGATCGTTTTCAACATCAATATTCATGTGTATTTAATATAATTTCTTAAGAGGATTGCCGGCATAGCATTAGCATTGCAATACTTTTGTATTGAGAGTCGGGTGCAAAAGTATAGCGGTTAGTATTAATTTAATGTCATGATGGGTGCGGGTGTGGGTGTGAGTGTGACTGTGGTTGAACTGAAGTTTCAGTCACATCCATACCCACACCCTCTGACATCTTCTTAAGTATTGGATCCTGTGACACAAAATATTACGGCTTCACATTGATACCGTACACTAAACCTCAAAGATTTTCAGAATCCAGTTTTTTTCATATTTGGGTGATTCGACAAATTTTAAGATGGTCTTGAGGCAGTTCTGAAACGAGCGAAGCTTTCCAGCTTCATCGTCCTCGGCATAAAAACTTAACTATTGTTTCGATAGCATTTTTATGTCTACTATCATTAAAATTTTCGTTACATTATGTTGATAGCTCAGTGCTTGTCTCTTAACTAACTCAATATGATGTTATAGTATTGACAAAAAAGCAAGTAAACTGAATATGTAATATTAAGAAACCGTCCATGAATTGAGGTTTATTTAAAATATAAATAAAAATGAGAGGAAGATAGCAAAGTGAATCAAGGAGATTAAAAAACCACATAAATCGATTATCAAGATCAATTTAATATCTATGTAAATCGTGTCCTATTGTGCAAATTAAATTGGCACTGTATGTGTATTATTTAATAAGCTTGTTTCTACTTTTAGCATTATTCAGATACGTTACTTACCACAATGAAATCAATAAAAGTCAATATATTGGAAGAATTTTATATCGAGTTGGTGTTGATTTAGCTTAGTGATGGTTATGTAACACCGTTTACTTGTTTTGGCAAATGATTCGTTTTTTACTTGTGCAGTGAGACAATATTACATGTTTCTTACTCTTTCTTAATATGTCTGGGTTTTTTCCCTT